ATGACAAATAATAATTTATAAATTATCAAGGGCTCATGAGGGAGGGGCGAGTAGGGAGGGAGGGGGGAAAATGAGGACCTGATGCCAGAGGCTTAAGTGGAGAGCAAATATTTTGAGAATGATGTGGGCAATGAATGTACAAATGTGCTCTTCACAATTGATGTATGTATGGATTGTGATAATTGTTGTATGAGCCCCTAATAAAACGATTTAAAAAAACTGAACCAATAAGCAACAACAACAAAAAAAGAATGTGTACGAAGGGGCAGTGTCTTATTGCACCTGTATTGTGCTGCCTCTGCCTTTGGGAGTTAGCTGGGACTTCTCTGACAAAGGAGAGAAGGGACCATACGTTAGCCAGGCCGAGGAGAAGCCTGGCCTATTGCCCTTGGAAAGGATTGTTTACACCCAAGGAGTAAGAGCCAAGCATCCCTGTCTGCCTATGTAAATAAGAGCTAGGCTCATTTAGACCTGTGACCAGGTGCCTGCTTTTAGAGAAGCCTGTAGGATACTATTTAAGGTAGGATGGTAAAGTCATGTGACTACTCTAAGCCATTTGTTATGCCTTATACATGTTGTGCTTATGTATCTTCAGTTTTCTGTTTTCTTGCAGCAATAGAGTTAGAGCATATCATAAACCAGCAAAGTAGAGAGAAGCCACTGAACAATATGTTTTAGGTCCCGTCTGGAACCAGCCTTTCTTAGAATCCCATTGAGAGCCAGTGGGAACTAGCTCAAACTAGAGCTTTGTATTGCTCTGGGGCACTTTTGTTTCTGTGGAAGGAGAATGATAAGGTAAATATTAAATGGGCAGGTAATTCCTCAGGTAAACACAGGCATGTAGTGTGCCATCTTAACTTGGTCAGATACTTACCTTGAGGTTGGAATGCTGTCTGGTCAGATGTACATTGGCGGCCCCAAGAAGTTTTCCTTTGTTTTTTTAAGTGAAAGAAGCACTCTTTTTTATTCATTATTTCCCTCAAATGATTCTAAAGGCCCCAAAGCCAGACCCTTGCAGGACTGGACCACAGTGAAGCATACAGATCGCAGGCGAAGCCGAGAGTGTGGCTCTGGGTGTGGACTTTGCAGCTTGGTCCAGCAGGTAGGCAGGGCTCACTGTTCCCTCCCTGCTCCTGTAACCTTGCTGTCACCCTGCTGTCACCTCCTCCTCCAGCCCCGCCAGCAGGGGGGGCAGCAAGAGTGATGAGGACACCTTGTAGCAGGTTCCCAAAAGCTATAATTTATTTACACAACTTCCAAATCATATAACATCTTATTTCACAGCCTACATGGTGGACCTGAGACAGCATATTCCCGTGTCGTGTCGTGGTTTTTCCGACCTCAGACCCAACCCCAGCCCCTTAACAAGGCAGACACCAGGATGAAAACAAGGACTTGGCTGACAGAATTCCCTCAGAGGTTCTTAATCACTTGGCGACAAGAGTAGTAAAAACACATTCTTTCTCTGGCTTAAACATTTTTGTTGTTGTTTTATTATTGTTTTATTTTTCCTATCCTCTAGTTAGGGACTTAAGGAGCCCTGGTGGTGTAGTGGTTACAAGTTCGGCTGTAATCTGTGTGGTCACCAGTTCAAAACCACCAGCAGCTCTGCGGGAGAAAGACTGGGCTTTCTACTCCCATAAACAGTTACAGTCTTGGAGACACACAGGAGGCCGGCAGTGAGTTAGTGACTTACCCTGCCTCTCCTTTCCTAAAAACGTTTTTTTAAGAGTCATTTCTAGTTTTGGGTTTTGTTTTTTGTTTTTTTAAGCAGTTCGTGTTACAGAGGTTTTGAAATCTTCAGATTCCATTTCTTCAGTACTCATTCCCCACTGTTCTCTTTAACATCTTAAATTATGCCAGATTTCAAATGCTGTGTCAAAAAGCTTATAATTTATACTGATAATACTTTCAACCTCACATTCATTATAGAAATGACTGCCAACGCATTTGGAAAATATTGACTTTATTCTTTAAAATCATTGTGCAATATATTTTGTAGTGGGTTTTGCAAGGCTATTTTTAATAACTCATTGGTTAATTAATTTTAGGCTTTGTTTTCCTCTATCTCACATAATCCCATCTTCCTTGATTTCAGAGATTGGTTATTTTCTGGTGTTTGCTCAGTTTGTTTGTTTGCTTACTTCTGTGTTAATTTTTCCTGTGTTTAAAGAAAATCTTTAAAAAGCCCCAAGTATAGGCCATCCATAGCAAATAAATAAAAGTATCAGCGGAATACCATTATCACTGCTCAGAGCTGGCAAATGCCTGCTTAAAATTCTTATTGTCCACTCTACAAATTTACATTGACTAGTCAGAGAGCATTTTATATGCATGGCCAAGAGATAGAACTAAATAGAAAACCCAGAAACGCCCTTTCTCCATTCCCACTGCATCTGTTTTCTGAACTGTTGACTGCTCATAACACACAACTAAGAAAAGGCTTTCAAATTCTGCATTAGGGAAATGTGTGTGGGTTTGTTTTGTTTTCCCAGCAGTTTTATTGACACATGATTTACATATCATACAATTCGTGGGGTTTTTTAATCATTTTATTGGGGCCTCATACAGCTCTTATCACAATTGATACATCCATCCATTGTGTCAAGCACATTTGTACATTTGTTGCCATCATCATTTTTGAAACATTTTCTTTCTACTTGAGCCTTAGTTATTCAGCTCTGTGTTTTTCCCCTCCCTCCCCCACCCTCACAAGCCCTTGATAATTTATAATTTTTTTTTCATGTCTTACACTGACCGATGTCTCCCTTCACCCACTTTTCTGTTGTCTGTTCCCCCAGGGAAGAGGTTATATATAGACCATTGTGATCAGTTCTCCTTTTCTTCCCCCACCTTCCCCTTACCCCCCTTGTATTGCTACTCTCATTATTGGTCCTGAGGGATTTATCTGTCCTATATTCCCTGTGTTTCTAGCTCATCTGTACCAATGTACATGTTCTGGTCTAGCCGAATTTGTAAGGTAAAATTGGGGTCATGATAGTGGGGGATAAGGAACATTGAAAGAACTAGAGGAAAGTTGTGTTTCATCGTTGCTGCACTGCACCCTGCCTGGTTCGTTTTTTCCTTGTGACCCTTCTGTAAGGGGATGTCCAATTGTCTACAGATGGACTTTGGGTCTCACTCTGCGCTCCCCCTCATTCACATGCATACAATTGTTTTGTAAGGTTTCGCATTGCACAGCCCTGAATCTTGAACCTGTCTGAACTCATCTAGAAGTTCCCTTTCAGTGGGAAGGTGAATACGTTTCCTTTGCAGCCTCACCTGGACAGATAGAGCCCTGCTCACCCTGTTCTTTCTCGAGGAAAGGCTTGGCCATTATTCTCTGCAGCGTTTAATTTTGCTTCTGCCTAAGAATGAGTGTTCTGAAAAGCCGGTGAGTATGGTTGCCTGACTCAAAGAATGTAATCCGTGTCACTAAGGTTGCACGTGTAGGACGTATCTGGCTTGGTCTGTGTTTCGCTGTGTGTATTCTCAACAGCAGCGGCAAAATAGATAAAATGCTGGGGGAGAAAAAAAGAATGACCTGCTCTTTTGCTTTTGGTTCACAGAAAGAAGCAGAGGTAAAGGAACGATCTGTTTTTGACATCCCCATATTTACAGAGGAATTCCTGAACCACAGCAAAGGTGATTCCTGAAGATCTTTTTGTCTTGCTCGGGTTGGGGACAGGGGGTTGAGTTTTATGGTTTTTCAAAGGTGATGATAGTGGTAGTCCTCCTTAGAACTTGTCTGCAAGACAGACTCACTGCTTCTCTTTCCCCTCTGGATTACAGACCCCGCTGGAGGAAAACTAGACCAGTATTCTCGAAGCTCTTTTGGTCTCTGAACCAAAAGCTCGTTTGGTTCTGAATCAATGTAAATCACTCATTCAGTTGTTTCCAGATTCTTAACCAAAGAACCTTTTGTACAAGTGAACATGGAAGTCCAAAAGTTAAAATAAGTAAGAGCAAAGCTCATCCACTGCAGTGATGATGGGGACCCCCAGCTGTACTTGGCCCATCTCCTGGGATCCCTCTTCGAAGCCTCTCGGGCTTCTCAATGCACAGCTTTAAAAAGCAAAAACAAACAGTTATGTTCTAATACTTTAGGGGATTGCAACTGTTTCTTGCAATCTTATATATAGAATATGAACAACTGTAGGAAATTAAAAAAGCTCAGGGGAGCTGGGCATTTCGTTGCTGGAATTGCTATGGAATGCCATAATGAGAGTAGGCAGCCCAGGTCGGGCAGCTAAACGCATTCTAATTAGAGGCAGCTGAGCAGAACTTCCGCGGAAGAGTCGCTGGGGCTCCGCAGAGACGCCTTCTAAATGCTCTGTGTGTTCTGTGGCGGGGGTGTCGCTCAGCCCGGGAAGCCGAGCTCCGCCAGCTTCGCAAGTCCAACATGGAGTTTGAGGAGAGGAACGCAGCCCTGCAGAAGCACGTGGAGAGCATGCGCACAGCCGTGGAGAAGCTGGAGGTGGATGTCATCCAGGAGCGGAGCCGCAACACAGTCCTCCAGCAGCACTTGGAGAGCCTGCGGCAGGTGTTGGCCAGCAGCTTTGCCGGCATGCCCTTGCCAGGTGATGATGCGGGGCCAGGCTGGGAGTGAATGCTGTGTGTGATGATAACTGGTGTGGTGAGCCTTCAGTGTCCCTCAAGAGGAAAATCATTCAAACGCGCTTTTTAAATTTTTATGCCAGAGTGTCTAGTAATTTGTTTCCCCCATTGATATTTCAATATAATATCTTTCCTTATATTCAGAACCATGGAAACAGTATATATCCTGCAGAGAGCACTTGCTCTCATGTCAGTATGTTAGCTGGCTCTGTTTGTTTTTGTCAGAAGGTAGAGAACAGAAACTAGTACAGGGGAACTTCAAAAAAAGTCCATTATCTCTTCATTCCACTTTTCCTTGAACTTGTGAAGCCCCCTCTCATTTCCTATATATGCTTTCACCTCTTTGACTGATCCCAGCACAAGACTGATAATCTGACCTGTACTGATTATATGTAGCTGCTCTTCTACATTGTACAACCACAGAGCCAGCCTCTATATTGAGAGTATATGGAATAATTTCTCTGTGGTTTAGAAGACGCCCTTCTAAGAATATCACCCTTTTTTGTGGAACAGACCATGTCAGAGCCACACTTGATGTTGCTGTGAACTCATTTAATTATTTCTTAGTTGGACTGCATGGGGAATATTTTCTAACTCGATTTATCTCATTCCAGGAAGTGGAGAAACACCTACAGTGGACACCATTGATTCGTACATGAACAGACTGCACAGTATTATTTTAGCTAGTCCTCAAGATAATGAAAGCTTCATAGCTACAGTTCGGGAGGTGGTGAACAGGCTTGATCGTTAGGGATGGTAAGTGAGTATTCACATGCTAAGATCTTGGAATCACAGTGTAAAAAGGAGAATCACAATAGTTCTTTTTAAAATTATTTTTGCTTGATTCATCATAATTTAATGGAAGACTTTCGGAGCGTAACTTTTGTGGTTAAACCTGGGCTTGGGCTTTGTCATCAGATGAATTTGTGGATACTTACTTTTCCAGAGACTTTTAAACAGTGTATGAAGAGAGCCTAGAGCAGTGGTTCTCAACCTTCCTAATGCCGCGACCCTTTAATACGGTTCCTCATGGTGACCCCCCCAACCATAAACATAAAATTATTTTTGTTGCTACTTCATAACTGTAACTTTGCTACTCTTATGAATCGGGCGACCCCTGTAAGAGAGTCGTTCTATCCCCAAAGGGGTCACGACCCACAAGTTGAGAACCACTGGCTTAGAGGAAAGCACCCAAAAGTAGTTCCTAGCATAAAATAGGTGTCACTTCACTGTTAACCTTCATTTTCCCTGAAAAATATTATTCATTTTAAACCAATAATTTGTGTATATAGTCTGGATGAGAAGTTTTTCATTCACCATTCCATATCAGAACAACTGTTGTAGGTTAAATGTTAATGTGAACTAACTTTGGAGTATAACTAACCTTACAAGTAATGTCCTGGTTTAATAGACTAACAGCTAACCAAATTCTGAATAACTAAGAGAGGAAAGGAACTTAAACTTTTAAAGTCATATACCCAACAAAGGATGGGTAGTATGTGTTACATCCTTCTACAGGAGAAAGAGTACATTTCTAAAAGGAATCTTCCAGTGCAGACTTTGTATTACTAATGATACTTACCAGGTATTATTTATCATTTCTTAAATGAAAATGCTCTTTTTCACTCAAATCCTAGTGATAGGATACCTTTTAGTATGCCTCCCACAGATGGGTAGCTTGGTAGCCTTTTGGAGGCTGATAAGTAGACATCAGCATGGTTTGGACTGGGAGAGATGAGAGTAAAAATAAAGAAAACCCACGATTCTTTGTCTAACAAGACAACATCTGCTCACAGAGACAAGGGCAGAAGTCTTGATCCTTTTTGGTCATGTTCTTGGACGGTAACTGTACAAGCCATTCATTATACGTTTGCCTCCTCGTGTTCTGCTGGGGAAAGGATTATTGCCCTTCTAGTGAGTAGCCAGATGGAACGGACTACACTTCTAAGAGATGGCTGGACTCCCTGCAGAATAAAGAAGTGGTGTTACTGCCGCTGTGGATGAAGGGAACAGCTTGTACGTCTAGGCCTGGGATTTTCAAGAGCTCATCTTTCTCATCTTCACACGTGCCTTCAGTTGGCACGCTTGTCGACTTGAGGAGAGAGAGCGGGGGAGCCGCGTGGAAGACTGAAAGAACTCAGTCATTGATAGCATGGGGTCTGCTCAAATAGGTGTAGGGCAGTTACTGCAAATGTGGAGCCAAAAGTGGTTTTCTGTTTTGAATGTTTTGCCAATAAGGCTCTCCTAAAGCTTTACTTGTTCCAAAGATACAGATTACACTATCTCTTTTTTTCTGTCTCTCAGAAAATCTAGAATGTCACCATTAACCTTTAAATAGTTTGCCCTGGACAAAATAATATCTGAGATGCATACTGTTATATTACTACAGATTCCTACGTTCTGGCTATGCAAACATGACTAAGAATAGATAGTTCCCCAAGCCCCCCAGATTGCCAAAATGAAACGATGGCAAAGACTGTGATTAATCCTAGCTTGGCCTCATTATACAAGGATGTACAGACTGTGAGGCCTAAAGTTCCCTAGCACGCATGGTGCAATTAATTGTGCTGACATGAGCTTGGCAAAGGTTTCATCCACTGTCAGGCGCCAGCGAGTGAAGGGGAAACTAATGGTGTAAAAATTTTAGAGCATATTAGAACTACAAGGCGCCATTAGAAATACCTGCATTTTACATATGAAAGACCTGAGTCCCAAAGAGGTAAAATATCCTGCTTTAAAACACCTGAATAGAAGAGGTCAGAGTCCAGGATGAGAGCAGAGACCTCTGTATCTCGGCCATCGGGGTTCAAAAGCTTTGCTGCAGGAGGTGGAGGGGAGCACCGAAGCTTGTTGGAATAAAAGCGTTCGGCTAAGCAGAAGTAGAGAGAAATGTCATAGTTCAGGAATCACCAGGCTAAAATTATTTTTCTAGCTAGCCAATAGAAGACTTCTTCACCTCAGTCGTCATCTTTCTTTGTGGAGTTGGGAGCAAGCAGTGGGGCTTGATTTGAGAGATGGCCACTTCACTATCAAAGACTACCAAAGTCCATATGTTGCTCGCTTTCTGAGGGACACAATGATACGTTGTTGACTGCTGGAAGATTGAAAAGGAATTTTTCTTATGTGGTTGTATTTTTATCAGTGTGACAGAGCTAAGGGATCATCTTCACACAATACGTTCCTGCACAGGATGAAAATTGTATTTGATTGGCCGTACATTCTTTGAACTAAAATAGAACCGAGTACTAATTCTCCATCATCAGATTCGCCCCTGGTAGCTGCTTTTCTATGTTCAACTGACAGCTTTCATACTTCATGTTATTGCTGGACTGGGGCGGGGCCGTGCTTCTCATTGAAATGTTATCTTGGCAAAGTTGCCTGCTCCTCACTTTGTGAGCTCTTCAGTTTACATTCACCTGCTCCTCATTTAACCTTTATGAACTAGAACAAAGCTCCCCCAGCCCCCCAACTTAGCATCCTAACCCCTACTGAGTAGTGCTTGTCATTTTTGTTTTTGTTTTGTTTGATTCTACAGATATTCGAGCTTCAGGATGTTCTCTAAGTCATTTAACTTGTGAGGAATGTGAAGCCATCGATGGAAATCGGGACTAAATGGGGGCTGGAAGGCTGTCCAGATCAACTCTCCTTGGGAAGGAATTGTCAGTGAGTTCAATGCCTTCACCTCCGGAAGCCGTGCGAGGGAGCAGTGAAAGGAACCGGTGTGGGAACTTCCTGCGGAGCTGCCCTGGTGTGAAGCTTCGAAAGTGTACAGCCACGCTCCTGTTTTCAGTTTCTTAGCGTTTCCATTCCCACTCAAGTGGATTTGCATATATTCTGCAGGCTTGGTGACCCTGAGACTGGTGTCTTCAGCAGGAAGGAAGACTCCCCATTGTCCTGCTCCAGATTGGACCCTTTATCAGTGGAGCAGCTCCAGTTTTCTTACCTAGCTGTCACTTCTTTTTAAATGCCTTTGGGGTTATTTTTTGCTTCCCTTCGCTCCTACCAGCTAGACATCTCCATTTTCTGACCTCTGGGCTTTGTTCCTCAGTGGGGATTGGAAGGAGTGTTCCTCTCATTGGACAGGCCCAATCTTCTCCCATCATCGCCCTGCTGTGACTCCAGAGAAAGAGCCTTCGTGGTGACAATGCCCTGTGGAGCCAGGCTGTGTCTCCTACCCCACACAGTGCTCTGTGGGTGCCAGCCCTCACTGGGGCTTTGTGATAGCTGCCCTGGAGGAGAATGCTCTTTCCTTCTTCCGCAGTGCTACCCGCTGTTCTGGAAGCATTGTTGGGGGGG